TGTCCAGGTGGGCGAGGGCAGTGTGGAGTGCAATAGAGATTGCATCATCTGTGGATCTGTTGGGGCGGTATGCGAATTGGAGTGGGTCCAGGGTGTCTTTGATGTGAGCCATAACCAGCCTTTCAAAGCATTTCATGGCTATAGATGTGAGTGCTAAGGGGCAATAGTCATTTAGGCAGGTTACCTTGGCGTTCATGGGCACGGGGACTATAGAGGTCTGCTTGAAACAAGTTGGTATTACAGACCGGATCAAGGATTTGTTGAAAATGTCATTGAAGACACTTGCCAGCTGGTCAGCACATGCTCTGAATACGCATCCTGTTATTCCGTCTGGCCCCGCGGCCTTGCGAATGTTAACCTGTTTAAAGGTCTTACATCAGCTACGAAGACCGAGATCACAGTCGTCCGGAACAGCTGGTGCTCTCATGCAATAATTGATCAAATATTCACTGTAGATTTCACTATTGTATTCTCCACATGAAATGAAACATCTAAACATCTAAGTATCTAGCAACGAGGTTCAAAATGGGAAACAAACAATGTGAGATATCATCAGGTGTGAAAGTAAAATGTATGTATTCCCTGTACGGGACCTCCTGTGTGCACACGCTTATCAAACAATCACTTCAAAGGGCTCCTTTACTAGGCAACCCGCGCATGTTCATCCACTCGCAACATATTTCCAGCCTCCAAACAATGGTGAATGGAAAGAGACATACCGATTGCCATTGGGCCAGAATTTATGCGTCCACTGCAATCCGCGCGTATCTCGGCCACTCATTGCTACCTTGGCAAAATGTCAGTGTTCTCATCTAACCACATGACATAACGGAGTGTAGGCTATACCACCCGTTTTCAAGTCCATTCGCTTATTTTTCCATGCCTCTGACATGCGGTAATGATAAATAGTGGTGTAATAGCCTTCAGTTTTCCTGACATTTTGTTTTAATTATTGTGATAGGTTAATATTTAATTGGTATGGTATACCCTTCACTATTTATTTTGCTGGGATGCCGTACTGCCTTACTTTCACCCCTGGATATCATAAACAACATTTCCCCAATTCTTCTCCAAATCACCAGAGTTCCATAGAGACACTGGGAAGTTGCTTCTTACCCCAGGTAGACCCTCTTGTCGTGACGGAACTTTCTGTTGGTCATGTCACCGTGGTCCCTGATGATCTTACGGACGTGCTCAGGTGGCATGTCCTCCTTCTGGGCATCAACAAACCCAAACTTCCTCTTCTCAGAGTAGCGCTTCGCCTGCAACTGCTGCCATTTTCTGGCTGTTGTATTGGGAAAATAAAAATTGTTGAATTATATTTTCATGCAAAGGAATTTTCCATTTTATGAATTGAATAACAACCCCATGGAAATCATAGGCAAAGGGGCAATGAAATGTTAAGATTTTTGGTAGATGACAGATACATGAGGCCAGTCCAGCAGCTGTACATTAGATAAAACACATGGATCAAAAGTTCTCCATTGAGCGGAACCCACCTTTCTCTTGCAGTTTTTCCTCAGACATGTAATCTGGAACCTGGGCTGGGGGATGGATACCTGGGGGAATTCCACCAGGTACCCCTCTATAAGGGAAGGCAGCTGCCATGGCGACTCACAGCTATTAAAAAAAAAAAAAATGGGTAAACAAGAATTATGTATTATTAGTTAGTTAGTATTTCAGCAACGAACATAGTCCATGTATGTTAATAAGTAATGCATCAACTTATTGTGCGCCAACCAAACTCATCACGACATGTTTCGATTTACCAACACGTGAACAATGGCTGCTGGCTTTCTGGTAGATATAAATGACTTAAAACAACTCTTTGGGAGTAAGTATTTTCTCAATGGTTCCTAATGTTAGCTAGTTAGTAGGTGAAATCTTTAGCAGTGCGAAGTCTGGAAAGTTAGCGAGTTCGTTGGCTAACTAGCTTAATTAGCCAATGAATCTGCGAATGCTTTGTAGCGTACAAATTCAAGTGCGTCGTTAGCGCGCACACATTAGTAAAAAAACACACGCGGGCAAATTAGTTCACCAACAGATTAATAAAATACTAACATCTCATACGTGGTTTGACTTAATTAACTAGTTGGTTAGTTGTTATTAGTTGGGCGACAACTTTTTTTGTGAAGGCCCGTTCTGAAAGTACTACCTGGTTAACGTTAGTCTGCTAATGCTAACCGGCTCAATTACACAACCAGAGGATCTACCAAACCATACCTCCTCCACGTCCAGGGCAACTGTTTTGTATTGAAAATAGCTTCGGTTTGCAAACGATTATAACATCTCTCTGTAAAAATTCAATGAACTTTTCCCCGCTGTTCACGAATCTGTTGATAAGCCTTCCTCCTGTCCAAACCACGCAGTGTGAACGACACCGCACGTTGCGCGCACTTGCCTTGAATTCACGAAGGTACAGTACGCTGTTTGATTGATTTCGAGCAACACAAACAAAGGGGGCTACGCAAGAAGATGCGCAAACGTAAAAGACATGCGCACTAATTCAAAGTCCCCGGATGAAGAAACGGAAGTCTCGTCAGTTGGACAGGATGTTTGGGTTTCAAAGTTCCACGGTTCAAAGTTCATCCTGAGTCTGCCTCAAAAAAATATTCATTTGTCAACACAAGAGCATGACAATGTCAAGGTAGGTTTGTTTTGAGATTACAACCATGCATGTAGCTACACTCATTATTAAAGGTAGCTAAAACAAGACGTTGTTTTGATCTCCTTGAGTACCGACCATGGTACCTACCCTCAGCCCATTGCCTGACTAGCTTATGTGCCGAATACATTATGATGTTACAGGTGTCAAATTTATGGGCATGTGGCAGCAGTATGTAGGAGGAAGGTTCCAAGGTGTGAGAAGTGTGCAGAAGGGCATGAGACAAAGGAATGTGTTGCATTGGGGAAAGTAGTGGTATGTGCTAATTGTAGGGGTGGCCATGGGGCTGGGGATCAGAAATATCCCGTGCGAGAGAAGCAGGTTGAGGTTTCCAGGGTAAGAGTAGTGAAGAAGTTGTCATATGCTGAGGCAGTGAAGAAAGTAGAGGAAGAGGGGTCAAGGGGGGGGAGTGGTGAGAGTAGTAGAGATGTACCAATGCAGAGGGATAGGACAACAAGTGATATATGTTTCAGTAAGATTGGATTTTTAGGGTTTATAGCAATGGTTATTAATTGTACTGCAGGGATGGAACGTAAGTCGAAGAAAATTGAGGTTGTGGTGGCAGCTGCAGAGAGGTATTTTGGTGTGCGAGACTTGACATCAGAAGAGTAAATGTAAGAGTTACGGGAGTGTTAAGTGGTGATGCCCCATCATTTCAGGTTGAGGGCATGAGGTAGGAATGAGTTATTAATAATTTTTTGAAATTGTGAGTGTAGTGTTAGAAGGTAGGGTATTTCTTTATTTTATTTTTCAAGCAATATATAAGGGAGTTGTACTCCAGTCTAGTAGGTGGCAGTAATGCAACAAATTGGATGCCAACCGCCGTTAAACCTCATTGAAGAAGAATAAGTAGCACCCTTAGCCCAGGCATGCGCAATAAGTGTTGCGCCTAGTTCTATGCATCTTGGTGCAACATGCCCTCGCCACTGTCTTGAAGTAATTGTTCTACACATTTTGAAGAGAAACCAAAAGGGTTCAAAATATTACGTATTTTAGCACTAACAGATGAGAGGACAGCTAGAGTACTTTTCCCGGACATTACCCCACCCATACAGTCTGCATTACTGTGTCCAGACTGTGTAAAACTTCTCAACACAAACACGGTCAAATCAGGCTTAAAAATAACAATTTCCACCGTGACTCCTCCGGTCATTATGTCAACAAAACAAGTGCATGACAATGTCAGGGTAGGTTTACCCTTACGAAAAAAAGATGCTGTCAGAGTGCTGTAGTACACTGAAGTATAACTGTAGTTAGAGTGCAGTATAACTGCAGTATGCTACAAATACTGCGTCCAAAATACGTTTTTTTTACTACAGTAATTTTGCAGTGTAACTGGGGTTTCAAATCTTTTTTTGTAAGGGTATCATCAGATTTGCTATCAGAATAATGTAGGTTAGGGCAGGCAAGCCTGTTCCTGGAGTGCCGCAGGTACTCTAGGATTTTGTTCCAATTAGGCACCACGCCTGCCCAACTGAGCTAATTGATCAGTAAAGTGATTGCCTAAATTCAACACACCTGGTGTTCCAGGTCTGATAAATCTAAAACATGAAGTGCCTGAGGCACTCCAGGAGCAGAGTTGCCTACCCCTGGGTTATGGGGGTTGGCTTGACAGTCGCTGGACCCGGGTTCCAATTCGCAACAATATCATATCACTTTGCCTGGGGACCAGACAGATTAATTTAGAAATTGGAAACATATCGTAGACACAAATACATTTCAATTACAGAAACATACAAATGTCATAAAAAATCGGGTATATGTACCACCGCATCAAGTCCTAATGACAATAACATTCCTCAGTAACATGTGAGTCAACCAAACTTTTAAACTTTTAAAGGTCTGGAGAGAATTTGAAGACCACGGAGCTGATTAGCTAAAACACTTTTTTGCCATGATCCGTTCTTATTTTAGGAACCGTTAAAAGTAAGTAGGAGACCGTAACTGGTATTTATTTTCTGACCTTATTAAAGAAGAACAGAGATAGTGTCAGTTTTCCCAAAACTGCCTTAGTTCATAGTATAGCAATGTTTAAGCCTATGTAGAGTCAACGAAGACCAGCCAACAGCGCTATAAAGATTACAGTGTGTCAGATGCTTTTGGTTGGTAATAAACCTAAGAGCTGCATGATGCATGGAATCAAGTACCTTCAGGGTAGTGCTTGAGGTCTGCATATAAATTACATCAGGGCATTGATGATCATGTCCAATTGAATGAGTGTGCTTGTTCTAGATCAGTGGAACAGTTGCTGGGGACACCTAAGGATGGAGAGGTTTGGGAAACACTAGTACCATGTATTTTAATAGTGACATTTATATATTTTGATCTCTTCCTCAGTAATACTATGGTTCTCGCCTGGAGTCCGCCTGTGATCTGCAGACCAGTGCTGCCTGCTCTCTACCCTGCAGGCCAATGCCCAAGAGTGCTATGGAGGCCCTTAATCTCGTTCAACCTGAAGTAACCAAACTGTATGATGATGGAAATGAACCAATTGATTCAGGACTGCTTCTGTTGAGAATGTATCTATTTGTATAATGGTACAGAAGTAGAATACATACATTTCCAACCAATATACATGAATAAAGACTAATATTGCAGAAATGTGAAACTGTTAGGACACACACTCTTTGTTCCAGATTTAGCAGACACTCTTATCCAGAGCGACTTAGTGCATTCATCTTAAGATAGCTAGGTGGGACAGCCACATATCACAGTCATAGTAAGTACATTTTCCCTCAATAAAGTAGCTATCAGCAAAGTCAGAGCTAGCAAGAAGGAAAAGAGCGAGTGTTAGTTCACGAAATGCTATATATTCCTATGTCGTTTTGTTCTAGGTTCTTTGGCTGTGGTCTTCCAGTTCCAGAGAAACTTAAGGGCTGCAGAATATTGGACCTGGGCAGCGGTTCCGGTAGAGACTGCTATGCCCTCAGTAAATTGGTTGACGAGACCGGCCATGTCACAGGCATTGAAATGACTGAGGAACTGGTATGTTTAGCACCTAGATCTACATATTCACAGACCCTACATCTTCAGTAATCTAACAATAATTCCATTACATTGGTGTGTGATATTCTGCTTTCTGCTGTGATCGTGTGTGGCGGAGTTGGTAGAGCATTGCCCTTGCAATGCCAGGATCATGGATTTAATTCACGCTGGGGTCATCAATACAAAAATCTATGCGTAGAATCGGCTACTAAATGCCTTCTTTGTGCTCAGATTCTAGTGTCCCGTAAATATATCCAGTACCGCCAGGAGAAGATTGGCTTTGAGAAACCCAATACCACCTTCCTCCAGGGGTATATGGAGAAGCTAACTGCAGCTGGCATTGAGAATGACTATGGATATCATAGTGTAAGTTCAGGAACCATCATGTTACTTTGCTATCAAAACAATGAGTCATTCTTTCTCAAATGTAATCTTTTGATCGTTTATCTGTTTTAGTCTGTTTCACGATCTGTTGGGAAGGTGAACAAAAATCCCCCTTTTATCTACTGTTTCTTCCAGGTCAAACTGTGTCATCTGTTTATGCCCTGATAAGAAAATGGTTCTACGTGAAGCCTACAAGGTCCTCAATGTGAGTAGTCCACCACACTGCCTGTTATCATTGCATAACATGATTATTAAAAACAGTATCCCAGGGCTTTATAAAATACAGATGGCAGTGACTGTGTCTCATAAAAAGTACCACTCTCTTTCTTTGCCTCTCTCCCTGTGTGATATAGGAGGGTGGTGAATTGTACTTCAGTGACATGTATGCCAGCAATGTTGTTCCTGACCACTTAAAAGAAGATCCAGTAATGTGAGGTAAGTGATCAAGTTGCACCTTCCTAGCAGACAAAGAATGTTTGATAATGCATATTATGCTTCTGTAGAAAAGCCTATCTCTTATCAAAAATATTTTTCAGATTCAGTCTCATTGGTGACATCTCAAAGTTAATTTACCCATAAGTTGTTTCGCTTGACCCGAGTGTGCCGTGCAAATTGTACAACTGCACTTCACACTGGTGATGTTTTCTTTTCTGTTGTGTTTTGTGATAGGTGAGGGAATGGGCGGTTCCCTCTATTGGCGAGACCTCATCTCATTGGTCCAGGAGGTGGGCTTCAGCACTCCTCACCTCGTCTCAGCCAGTCACATCGAGGTCTTCAACTGCGAGCTCAAAAAGAAAGCAGGTACATGCATCTCCATGACTGTCTAAGGCTGCTTACTTTAGGATGGAAAAAGTATGCAGTTCTTACGCTAACCTAACCTCACTAATAACACATTTATTAATGTTGTCTAGAAGCATTTAGTATAAACAATGTATGCCTAGTCAGTCACTTCCATCTCCAATGTGTTGCAGGTGATATTAGCTATGCATCTGGCACTTACCGGCTCTTCAAGTTGCCCAAAAAGCTTGAGATGTCAAGTGCAATAGTGACCTACAAGGGGACTGTGCCTGACTACCCGTGTCAGCTGGAGTTTGATTCCTCCCACTGCTTCAAGGTATGTTGGTGCAAACACAGCAGGGGTCTCCAAACCTGTTCCTGGAGAACTACCAGGACGGTTTTCGCACCAACCTGATTCTAATAATTAGCTGGTTGATCAACTGAATCAGGTTAGTTACAACAGGGGTTGGAGTGAAAACCATCAGGAGGGTAACTCTCCAGGAGCAGGGTTGGAGAGCCCTGAAACACTGCATAATAGGACTACCCTCACCTAAGCATTTTTCATAAAGGCAGCATTGGTTGCTTCTGTTTATGTAGCAAGGTAATGTTGTTCCCTTAGTTTATGAACAAGTGTTTACAAGTGTTTTACTTGTGTATGCATATTGAAACAGTAGTTGATATGGACCACTGATACACACTTTTTATACATACATTTCTGAAAATGGATTCCACACTACATTAGGTCAATGCACAAATTGTGTGGGTTGCCTAATATGCTAAGTGAATGTATAATCCCTGTGATGTTTACTTTGTGCTGTGCAGAAAGACGTGGCGCTGCAGGATGATGGGGAGATGGCTGCTATCCTCCAGTGCTCTCGCTTCTCCCCTGACTTCTGCATCCAGAAGGTAGGTACCACTTTACAAAGGTAACACCTTACATTGTTGCTGTTATAGCTCTATAATAGCAATGTAATTACAATAGTAACAACATGGTACCCAAAAGCAATCAGGGACTGTTTATTACTCCGCAAATACCTCAACTGGCGTTTACTCGTGATCATTTGAATCCTGAACTGTGTCCTCTGCGTTCCCTTTTCAGTATGGCCACGTCAGCCCATTCCTGCTGGCCGATAAGCTGGGCTCCTCGGTGAAGCAATGCTCCAAAACAGGCAAAGCCGCAGGAGGCTGTGAGGAGACCTAACTAACTACACCTGGATGACAGGGTGTATGGCCCAATAATCTCTCCTTCCTCCTGAAGTGTGCACTCATTAATTACTTCCCACAAATCTAAAAGCATTGGATTGTTGTTGGCCTGGGCTATTGGGAGTTTCCACCATATTTCTTATACCAGTCATTTCCTTTCATATCATTGAAGGGAAGTGAGCAAGTGCACTTGAAGGAGAGGTTATTTGGATGCACCCAATGTGACAGAAAATACGTCAATTTTGATGTCCGCACCTATGTAGCACAAATTATATAAAAAAGTTTGTAGTGTGCCTTGAATTTTATTATGTGACATTTGGAGCATTACCTGGATAATACATGAGACTGTAGCTGTCACGTTTCCTCACGTTGCTCCCCTCCGGCGCTCTGATTCGCCGGTCTACTGAGCCACCGGCCTGAGCGCACCACCTCGGCAACACAGGAATGGAAACCCAACGCTCCCTAATCACCTCCAGCGCACCTGCACCTCATCATCTCATCACCACCACTACAGTGCCTTGCAAAAGTATTCATCCCCCTTGGCATTTTTCCTATTTTGTTGCATTACAACCTGTAATTTAAATGGATTTTTATTTGGATTTCATGTAATGGACATGAACAAAATAGTCAAAATAGTTTCAAAAAATTCAAAAAAATAAATAACTGAAAAGTGGTGCGTGCATATGAATTCACAGCCTTTGCTATGAAGCCCCTAAATAAGATCTGGTGCAACCAATTACCTTCAGAAGTCACATAATTAGTTAAACAAAGTCAACCTGTGTGCAATCTAAGTGTCACGTGATCTATCACATGATCTCAGTATACATACACCTGATCTGAAAGGCCCCAGAGTCTGCAACACCACTAAGCAAGGGGCACCATGAAGACCAAGGAGCTCTCCAAACAGGTCAGGGACAAAGTTGTGGAGAATTACAGATCAGGGTTGGGTTTTAAAAAAATATCTGAAACTTTGAACATCCCACGGAGCACTATTAAATCCATAATAAAAAAAATTGAAAGAATATGGCACCACAACAAACCTGCCAAGAGAGGGCCGCCCCCCAAAACTTACAGACCAGGCAAAGAGGGCATTAATCAGAGAGGCAACAAAGAGACCAAAGATAACCCTGAAGGAGTTGCAAAGCTCCACAGCAGAGATTGGAGTATCTGTCCATAGGACCACTTTAAGCCGTACACTCCACAGAGCTGGGCTTTACGGAAGAGTGGCCAGAAAAAAGCCATTGCTTAAAGAAAAAAAATAAGCAAACACGTTTGGTGTTCGCCAAAAGGCATGTGGGAGACTCCCAAAACATATGGAAGAAGGTACTCTGGTCAGATGAAACAAAATTCTAGCTTTTTGGACATCAAGGAAAACGCTATGTCTGGCGCAAACCCAACACCTCTCATCACCCACGAGAACACCATCCCCACAGTGAAGCATGGTGGTGGCAGCATCATGCTATGGGGATGTTTTTCATCGGCAGGGACTGGGAAACTGGTCAGAATTGAAGGAATGATGGATGGCTTTAAATACAGGGAAATTCTTGAGGGAAACCTGTTTCAGTCTTCCAGAGATTTGAGACTGGGACGGAGGTTCACCTTCCAGCAGGACAATGACCCTAAGCATACTGCTAAAGCAACACTCGAGTGGTTTAAGGGGAAACATTTAAATGTCTTAGTCAAAGCCCAGACCTCAATCCAATTGAGAATCTGTGGTATGACTTAAAGATTGCTGTACACTAGCGGAACCCATCCAACTTGAAGGAGCTGGAGCAGTTTTGCCTTGAAGAATGGGCAAAAATCCCAGTGGCTAGATGTGCCAAGCTTATAGAGACATACCCCAAGAGACTTACAGCTGTAATTGCTGCAAAAGGTGGCTCTACAAAGTATTGACTTTGGGGGGGGGGGGGGGGGTGAATAGTTATGCACGCTCAAGTTTTCGTTTTTTTTGTCTTATTTCTTGTTTGTTTCGCAATTTTTTAAATTTTGCATCTTCCAAGTGGTAGGCATGTTGTGTAAATCAAATGATACAAACCCCCCAAAAATCCATTTTAATTCCAGGTTGTAAGGCAACAAAATAGAAACATGCCAAGAGGGGTGAATACTTTCGCAAGCCACTGGACTGTTCAATCATTGTTGTGTGTAATTGTTAGCGTTGTGTCATTTACTCGCTCTTTGTAATTCTCTTTCTCATTGTTAAGTAAACCTTTACCTTGTTGATTCCTGCGTCTGCGTCCTGCCTCTTCGTATCCTGAGTACTCGTCCCAGAATTACACACCTCTCACGAAAATGGATACAGCAGGTAATCCTCCTGGGGTTTCCCAGTACCTCAACTAGCACCAGCAGCAGCTTTCCCAGTTGAACGCCGCCATGCAGGAAGTGCTCCAAACTCTGCATAATCTGCCCAGCGCTCCGGTTCCACCTCAGGGAGAGCGAGTGCACCCAGTCCACCTGTTCCTGTGAGTACGCAGATCTCTCCGATGTCTTCTCTTCATCAAAGGCCACGTGTCTCCATCCTCACAGACCCTGGGACTGCGCCATTGACCTGCTGGAGGGACAACACCCCCCAAAGAGTCGCATTTACTCCCTTTCCATGGCGGAGACTGAGGCCATGGAGAAGTATGTGGCGGAGACCCTGAAATGGGTTCATCAGACGCTCTACCTCTCCTGCCTCCGCCAGCTTCTTCTTCGTGGCCAAAAAAGACAGAGGACGGAGGCCGTGCATTGACTACAGGGGGCTGAACGCAGTCACCACCAAGTACCGGTACCCCCTCCCTCTGGTTCCGTCGGCCATCGAGCAGCTACGAGGGGCCCGGTACTTTACCAAGTTGGACCTGAGGATTGCCTACAACCTGATCCGAATCCGGGAAGGAAACGAGTGGAAGACGGCATTCAGCGCTACCTCAGGCCACTATGAATACTGCGTCATGCCCTACGGCCTCGCCAACGCACCTTCTGTGTTCCAGTCCTTCGTCAATGACGTGTTCCGAGACATGCTGAGTAGACAGGTGGTGGTGTACATCGACGATATCCTGATCTACTCAGCTACGTTTGAGGAGCACGTCAGGGACGTCCGAGCTGTCCTACTCCGCCTCCGGGAACACAACCTGTTGGTGAAGGGGGAGAAATGCGAATTCCACCAACAGGCCATCTCCTTCCTGGCATACAGGATCAGTCCTCAGGGGGTGTTCATGGAAAGAGAGAAGACGGACGTCGTCAGGTCATGGCCAGTCCCCACCACCATCAAGGGCCTACAGAGCTTTCTGGGCTTCGCCAATTTCTACCAGCCTTTCATCAGGTCCTTCAGCTCCATAGCTGCCCCGCTCACCTCTCTCCTTAAGGGTGGACCTCAGAAGCTGGTCTGGAACTCTGAGGCTGACGCTGCTTTCAAGAGGCTGAAGGAGAGGTTCACCACAGCGCACATCCTAAAACACCCAGATCCATCTTGTCCTTCGTCCTGGAGGTGGACTCATCTGAGGAGGGCGTGGGTGCAGTCCTCTCCCAGCAGCATGGTAAGCCAGAGGAAATGTACCCCTGTGCCTTTTTCTCTAAAAAGCTTAACACTGCAGAGAGGAACTATGGAGTTGGAGACAGGGAGCTGTTAGCGGTGGTCCTCGCTCTGGAAGAATGGAGACACTGGCTGGAGGGCGCAGTCCATCCATTCCGGATTCTTACTGACCACTGGAATTTGGAGCACATACAGGCAGCGAAACGGATGAACTCTCGTCATGCCAGGTAGGCCCAATTTCTTACTCGCTTTCAGTTTATTCTGTCCTACTGCCCAGGATTCCAGAATGTGAAAGCCGATGCACTCTCCAGGATGCACCACACCGGAGAAAGGAAGGATCTGGGGGTCCTATCCTGCCCCCGTCTCTCATCGTTGCACCTGTCATTTGGGATGTGGACAAAGACATCCGCATGGCAGCTCTGGAGGACTCGGCGCCTGCCAACGACCCCCCCGGGGCGTGTGTATGTACCCACCAGTAACCGTGTCCGCCTGCTTATCTGGGCGCACACCACCCTTATGGCAGGGCACTCCGGTATTACGCGCACCCTGCATTCTCTATCACAAAAATACTGGTGATCCACCTTGGTTACTGATGTCTCTCGCTATGTCAACTCCTGTTCTGTATGTGCCCAAACGAAAACACCTCTGAACTCCCCGGCAGGCAAACTAGTTCCTCTACCAGTGCCTCAGCGACCTTGGTCACACCTGTCCATAGACTTTGTCACCGACCTCCCACGTTTTGACGGCTTCACCACAGTCATGGAGGTCGTAGATCAGTTCTCAAAATCATGCCGTTTTTTGCCACTAACTGGTCTTCCTTCTGCTCTCCAGGTCGCTGAGATCCTGTTCCAACAGGTCTTCCTGCACTATGGACTTCCGGAGGACATTGTCTCGGATCGTGGCCCCCAATTCACCTCCCGAGTGTGGAAGGCTTTCCTGGAGAAGATCGGGGCCACGGCCAGCCTCACTTCTGGGTATAGGCCTCAGTCAAATGGGCAGGTGGACGCATGAACCAGGAGCTGGGGAGGTTTCTTCGTTGCCACTGTCAGGACCGGCAGGGTGAATGGGCAAGGTTTTTCCCTGGGAATATGCCCAGAACTCCCTCGTTCACTCCTCCACGGGGATCACTCCCTTCCAATGCGTCCTGGGGTACCAGTCGACCCTGGCCCCTTGGACACCCAGCCAGACCGCGACTCACAACTCAGAGTGCTTTCAAGACAACTCAGAGAAAAAAATTAGGTCAAATCATGATGTCAGTGATCTTCAGGTCGGAAAGTCGGAGTCCTAGAAAGATGCCGAGTATCCAATTTGGAATTCCGAGTTGGATGACCGTTCCCAGTTCCCAGTTGTCTTGAACGCTCGGAAGTCTGAGATTTCCGAGTTCCCAGTTGTTTTGAATGCAGCATTAGCCAGACTAGCAGGGTTTCCACTAGTTACCACTGCCAGAAAGTCATAAGTAGATTAGATTTTAGATTAGTTTAATACTCACATGGACAGGGTTGCAGATGTA